TGTACAGACGTGCAGTAGCTTCTTGCCCAAACCCTGTCACAAATGTGCAGTTCCCAGGCTAGCCCATAAAATTTGCTTCGCAATGGACAGTGCATTAGACCAGCGGTTACACTGATGCAAAAATGCCTATGCCAAGCATTGCTAGAGGCTTCGTAACGGTCTGGCAAGCATCAGGGTTCGCCGGAAAGAGTTGGACTAACCCAGACTGCCCCATAGTTGATAAGGTGAACGAATTATCTGCTGCTCCTTTGCCCAGCACAATGGCAGTCAACTCATTTACCCTCGCTTTTAGGAGATTGTTGCGGACGAGTTCATTAGCCTGCACGCATATGCTTATCCACTTCCGGGGGGCTGCGGCGACAATTCAGAAGTTGCGGCATTGAATGTTGCCCAACGCGAGAATATTTGGAATGCTTACTGAATCTAGTCTCTGCCTCCTTGAACGTGCTTGCTGCAAGGAAACTCTTAGGTACACTGCTCGAGCATGGCTGGTTGCTTGGACTGCTTCTTCCCACTGGGTGAAACTGCTCTTCAGAAGGTCTCGCCTTTCGTTGAGGGGTACTGAGGGTGGGGCCATCAGCGGTGAAATAGTGAAAAGAATACTAGCATATGCATCTTCGTGCATTATGGAGTCGGTAGTGGCTGTAATTTCATCACCTATAGACGCGTCGGATTCGAATTTTCCCACTGGCCCAACTAGAGTTGAAAACAGCTGGTCAGTGATCTGGCATAGGAGCCGGTGCATTTCCAAGTGTTGTCTTTTTGATACGTCTCGGCAAGCGTTGAACTGGAAAAGTACCAGGCAAAGCGAAGAACGTCGCACAAACAAAAAAAAGCTGCTGAATGCAGACTCTGTCTAGTCAACGACAATGCATTCGCTGGCGAACAAGAATCCTCACCTGCTGTGGCGGGTACCAAGCTTCTAAAAGGCATCTTACCTGCCGTTCAAGCCACATTGTGGTTTTTTCGCGTGCTTCATTTGCAAGAGAAACTCTCTTCGATATAAGAGCCTTTCGCGTTTCTCGGGACTTCGAATACTCGGCTTCTCGGCACTCTCTTAATTGAAGTACCCTTTCGTTCATCTGCTCTACACGCGCCAAGGACTTTTTCTGTATAGAAAGAACCCAGGAAAAGCCCCAAGGTATTCTCTTAAGAAACATGTTCTTCGCGTGAAACCTAGCAACCAACGACGTACTTTCAGTGAGTCGATGATCTCCGGGAGTTCCGCCTCGTTGCCTTGACACGGTGCTTCTGCCCTTACCTGTAGTCCAACGCATTGGTTTCTTGTTATTGCCTTCCGTAGTGCATAATTATCTGGTTTTTGAAAGCGTGTGAATGGTACATGAATATGAATTATTTCTGTCCCCTCCTCTTCACTTTCATTTTCTAGTGGATGGTGCACTCGTTACCTCCGATAGTTGGGAGATAAGGGCATCCCGCTCGTCTTCAATAAACTGCAGCCTGATTCGTTCCACAGCCAGCTTGTCTTGTGTCTCTTGAATCTCGGTTTCTAATTCCAGGTCCTCAAGTGGGAAAGTACTGTTGAAGGAGCGTCGCCGCTCTTCGTCTTCTTCCAAAATTCTGCGAATCAGAAGAAACCTCAGAATGTGTCCCTGCTTGGCATTGTCTTCTAGCAGTGCGATGCTTTCTTGACCTTCTTGTTAACTTGGATAACATCCGTTGTTACTCCAGAATAGCTAATGTGACAGTCGGCATATTCCAGAGGGATTAGGGGGACTGAGCAGCGACGCACTGCCGTTCCTGCTCTTGTAGAACTTTAATACGTCTTCCGATTTCTTCCTCTTCCAGTTCTTCAGCCCGGAGAAGACCAATTCGAACATTTCTAAGCTCTTGAAGCATAACACTTGCCATGTTTTCATGAACTGAAGTCAAGCAGCGGGCCGCCGCCTGACTAGCACCTCGAATTCTTCTGTTCAGGGCGTCGAGGCATTGCTGTACCTCCACAGCAACTGTAAAAGGATCTGGTATCTCGAGGATTACCTGATATAACAAACATTGTGCTAAGAAGCTGCGATTTTGAAAGCTTAACTAGCTGCGGGCCAATATGCTCTGCCAATTTCACTTACTTCCATTCATGCAACAGGAATAAAGTCCAATGCTGCCAAAGTGAGCACTCACTGTTGCCTACCTTCAACTTTCTTATGTAGTCTTCCATCTCGAGCATCAGTCGCTTGTGAAAATGCTTAACGCTCTGCAAGTGCGCACCACACACGCAATCCCGCAAATGAAGATCCAATGCAACAAATTTGCAGCACAACTGCCTCAAGCGAGTTGTTGGTGTTGGCGGCGCCGGGAAGGGACACACTTGATTTCTGTTCTTATCAAGCTTAGTTTGAGCACTGAGCAGACAGGTGAGCTCGTCCGTTACAGTGCGAAACTTTAGATAATCTCGCAGCGCCGCTATCTTTTGCTCCTCCTGCGCAAGAGCTCTTGAAATACGCAACCGTTCTCTGGAAAGGCGAATAGACCGACTGCACTCGCTGTCCATGGCAACTTTCAGATCTGAAAGTGCACTTCGCTGTTCGAACGATATAGCATCGAGTTGCTGCGAGCAGAAAAAAGCCACGCAGCACTTCAACCGATGGGTGCGCTCTCAAATATATATATATATATAA